AGGACTAAGGTCTTTGTTTATACGTTGGTCATGTTTCATCCCTGCACCAATACCACGCTTCACAAATTCACATTTCTTGCATTTTTAAATCAAACACTCAATGTTTTTGGAGAATTATGTGCAGTATAAAATGATGCACATTTGGAGGACTTGTGTTGTTTTTTTTCTATTAGAGCTTGGTCATTAACCCTGACAATGTGCAGTCATGCTAAGAATATAACTGATTGCACCGGGAGAGGGCCTACTTTAGTTGCCAAAAAAAGAAGATAAAACTCTACGTATCTGTGTTTATGTTTTATTGCTTTTCCACCATATTCCTAGGGAATTTGCAGTTGAGGATAAATAAAATGATTAAAGTATGTTGGTTCTGCTGCCTTTCTGTTCTTTTATATCCCAAGAGGAACATAACCTGGGGAAGATGGATTTGGGTGCCGTGTGGCTGTGTGTTCAGCTTCTATGGAGTACATTATTTACTTTTATAGGGTTGGATTTCAAAGAGGTTGCTGCAATCGTTTTGCTGTTTAGAGCTTCAGCTCAGAGTAATAAATGATAACGATAGAATAAGCAAAAACAAAACAGAACGTTCAATAAGATCAGTGACTGTGGTGTGCTGGTGTCTCTTGAGAATAACCAATTGCAAAAACAGTTCTAAATAAAAGGTGCAGTAAAAAAATGCTTGCTTTAGCTACACTAACTTGAGGTAGCATGAAAGATGGAATTAAATCAATCTTTAAAGTTAAAACATTGAGATAATCGTAAAATACTGTCTTTCAAAAATAAGATACAGACTAGATAGTAATTTATTGATAATATTGATTGATTAGCTTTAAATCAAAGACCATAATGTCACTTAGTGGTGAGAAAATATTTTCTTATCAGTCCAAGCAGAACCAGAGGTATTTCAAGTCACATTGTCATGGAGCTTCAGTTAGCTGTCTCGATTGGATTACAGACCTTTTCTCTGTCACTTAAAACTTTTATCTGTCAAGGGTTCAGAAGGTAGGACCCAGAATTAGAGGCGAGAAAGACTGTGATTACTTACAATGCACTTATTGACAGAACGGAGATGTGGATCAGCAGCGGCTTTGGGGGGAGGCGGGACACCGCCCATCACTGGCAACTCTGGTTAGAGAGAAACACAGGTAAGTAACCATGATAATCTGATGGAAGATGATCATCCATGTGAGTCACCTGTTTTATTTGTCCATCTCCTTAGAGCGAGGTAGGATCCAGCCTGGTAAGGGAAACAGTTCAGAACAGAAAGGCTCCAGGGGTACGTAGCCTGGTCAGCGTTTCCGATCAGAACAAGAACAAGCAGGTCCAAGCTTCCAGGCCCAGAGGTCCAGAGAGAGTTCAGGCAGAAAGTTCAGATGGGAAAAGGCAAGTACAGTAGTTGAGAGGCAAAACAAGGCAGGATATCAGGAATACTATGGTACGTTAAAACTTGCTTCCTTCACAGAGCCAAGACGGGAACAGGCATGCTCAGTGGATAAGAGGCAAAAGATGATCAGGAAAACAGGAACACTAAGAAACACTAAAAACCTCTCTCACCACTGTCCTCTGAGAATGAGAACATATGGTATCAGCAATGACCTCCAATTCAGACTCAAAATTCAATGATCTGGCCCCGAAAGCTGGGACTGAGCCGTATATAAAGAAGCAGAAGCAGGTGGATGAGATGAACGGTAATTGGAAATCAGGCCAGCTCCCCGGGTCATGATCATAACATTTTGTTAGTTTCTTCCTGATTATACCCAACTGTATAACACATATAATCCTTCATTATTTTATTATTGTGAGCATAATCCATGTTTGTATCAAAGTTCAAACATTTTTGAAATTGATCTGTAACCCTTTCTGGACTGACAAATGTAGAAAAGAAAAAATGTTTTAACAACTTTTCTGAATTTCTATATCATCTGATTAGTTGGTTTTTGAAATATGTCCACCTAATTCCTGTTGTCTTACTGTACATGATCTGTTTTAAATAACTATTAGATTCTACTGGTTTAAAACGAATCATTCCTTTTCACTTCTGAAAGGAGGAAAATACTATTTTAAAGCATTCTAGGTCATTTCAAACAATTTATCAAATTTTAATAAATGGTAAATGGCATTCAAGTCAGGAGACTTGACTAAAGCGCTTTACACTACATTCATTCACCTATTCACCCACACACTCACACATTGATGGTGGCAAGCTACAATGTAGCCACAGCTGCCGTGGGGCTCACTGACAGAAGCGGGGCTGCCATGTCCTGGCGCCACCGGGCCCTCTGACCACCATTAGTAGACAATGCAGGTGAAGAGTTTTGCCCAAGGACACAGCGACACTGAAAGTCGGAGCTTGAACCGTCAACCCTTCGATTTCAGGGCAAACTCCTACATCCAACGCCACTGCATATTAATATTAATAGCATATTTTCATTACCTATCAAAATCATTTTTAAATGCATAATGTTTAAAATGATAGAATCATTTACATCTGGTAAACTTGTTTAAATAGATGAGCCAACCAAAAATCCTATTTTGTCGCTGTTGATAAAAATTAATATTAGGTTTGCTGAACTGCAGTGTTGTAACCTTATGTTACGCCTGCACCATCTGCTGAAGGAAACACTCAGGTGTGCAATTACAAGCTTCAGTTCTTTATAGACTGACACTTCTATCTTCTAGCAAGGATTGGTCATTTACTATGAATTTGTTATAAATGTAATATGACAGAGTTTCATCAAGCTTCCCCTTGCTTGAAAAATAAGCTTGAAAAATTGGGTATGATCCAATTCCCTCTATGCAATCAGTGCTGTCAGAAAATTCTACTCATCTTCTTTTTCATTTTCTCCTGTAACTAGATGCTGTCAAGGCCCAAGGGCTTTGCTGCACAGTTTGCTTGGCTGTATATATAATTGGACCCTGTCAACAGTGTCCAGTGCAGCAGAAGTGCAAGGTTTGTCATGGCATCTACTTTGTGCCAATTTCAGCACAGGGCAGCTGTGAGATAGTTTGTCTGTCATTAATGCAGACTATGGGATAGTGCAGACACAATAGTTGCCCCTACATGTTTGTGGAAGGAATGCAAATCGTCTGTAGGGAAACAAAGCTAAGTGAGCACAGCTGAAGTTGGATTTGTGATTGTAATCTAAGCCTTAAAGTTGCAGATCTACAGGAAGAAACTGGTATGTGGTTTTGCATCCAAAGAATGGAAAATGAACCACATAATGACACCGGCTGTTTTCATTAACACCATAATTGTACACTTTTTTTTTTATTTTTTTTTGCTGACATGATAATTGAATGTAATAGCGGCAAATACCAGAGGAGATTTAGAATTCAGCATGGATGCATCTCACTGCATCAACACACCTCATTAGACATGTTTCAATTTCCTCTGTGAATTCTACGTCTTCAGCAATGTTCCTTTGTTCCTGATCAAATTTACTGTGAATCAAATTAAGGGATTTGACCTGCTTTGCTGTTTTACTAAGGATCCATGTGGGTGTTCTCCTAATCAACGTGGGAGGCAAAAAAAAAAGAAGATGTTGGATCATGACTGAGCTTGTCAAGACGAAAATGCTCTGTCTGGAAACGTATCACACACCTATAGGACAGAAGAAAATAGGACAACATTGATGCATGACTCCAAAAACACGAAGTAGAACTTAAATCCTCAGAGAGCAAATTGTGGCCAGGATGAAACACACTGAGCTCTTTGAATGTTTTATGTTTGTATGGCTCTATTGAAAATATGTAAAATTTTCTGGATGAATCTATTTTTTTAAAATATATATAGATTTTGTTTGTTTTTTGTTTATTTCAATTTTTTTTCAAAAACTGGACCGAATACTTATGAAAATCCAGTAGGTAGGCAAAGACTTATTTTCAACAACAAACTGCAGAGTTTTCTTTCTTTTGCAAACTATAATTAAAAAAATCCTACATATACTTGTGTTTTACCTTCTTTTACTGTGATAGTCATAATAAAATCTAGTGCAACTGCTTTTTATTTAATATTATAAAAAATGCAACTCTTCTGTCGAGTCAAATAAAGATTTTAAGGATTATTAGTAAACAGTTTCCTGAACCCAAACAAACCCATCAAATAGGTTATATCAAAATTGGGGGAGATATCTGCAGCATGCATTTTAAAACACTGTCTATGCTTTCAAAATATCACAATTCAAATCATAATGTGAAAGTTTTATAAAAAAAAAAAGTCCCAGCAATCAGACCAAGACATTCCCTCTTAGAATCAGTGGTCACTAAAAAATTAGACATAGACTTATACAGATTTAGTTTGTAATTTTGTATACACAAGTGTATACAAAAATATATTTTTTTTAAAACAGCTCTAGAAATTTTTTTTTTTTTATTGCAGCCTTGAAAACAGTAATAAATACATAAAAATTGTAATATATAGTAACAAATGACTGTAGTAATTTTTTTTTATTTTTTTGCCCTATATGCTCTGCTTTTGACATTCTATCCTGTGTTGGTCTATTAAATGAAATCCAAAACTGATGCCACTGATGCCAGGAAAGGAAACATAATGTGAACAAACCAGGTGTATGAATACGTTTGCAAGGCACTTTAAAGTTAGATGTGAAAAAAGAAACCAGTAGGGGGAGACAAAGGTCCACTTTGTTCTGAGTGGGATTCATTTGTATTTCTAAGCAGACCTGCTTATGGTTGCTTTTTTATTGTTCAGAATGTGGCAAACATGGTAAGGTTAAATGTCCTTTTTTATTGCGTATCTGTGAAAATGTGTAGATTAAAAAAAAACTCACAGTATTCCTTTCTGCGCATTTTTGATCCCATTTAATATTTTGCTCAGTGAAACTCAAAGGTCTACCTTCTCATTATGCTTTCTGCTCTGAATGGCACAACACTGCTCCATTTAAGACCAGAGAAGACGCATTCCAGAGTAGATAATAACCAATGGGCTCAGAGGGAGGCGCGGCTTTCCCTTTACTCCGCTAAAGCAGGAGTATGAAGTTTCCCCTAACAGCGCACAGCTGCTGGGAGAGAATGCTGCAGGTTCGCCCTCAGCTCAGGTGCGTGATTTTTGTCCAACTCCGCTTTTATTCACCTATAACTTTAATTGTTCAAGAGTGCATGCACGAAGTTTAAAGCTGCAGCTCCGCTCTCCAAATGGCTTGGATTATTCCCTCTCATCTGCTCTGGACTGGCGCTGCTTTGCTTCTGCTCGCACTGATTCTGACAGGTGATGCAGCCGCGAGCGTTTCTGACAGCTATGGATTATCGTACGCCCTGAGGCCTGAGCTCTCGGAGGACACCATACTGGTAGCCAATAACGGGGTCCGCGCGCCTTTCGGGAGATCCGTCTTCATTGATCCCATTAACGATCTGGTGGTTCAAGTTCAGCCCGGCGACAGATGCAGCATCACAGTTTTGGACAACGACCCGCTGTCTCAAAAACCTGGACACTTGTCTCCGAAAAAGTTCCCGTGTGAATTTGGCCCCAATGATGTGAAGTATTCGCACTTTGGCTCCCGGAGTCCCCCGAGTGACAGGGTGAGGTTACAGCTCAGGTATGACACCCAGACGGATACAATAATAATCCCATTCATGATGGAGGTGGAGGTGATCTTCACACAGCTGGAAGTGGTGACCAAAAACATGCCACTGACTGTTGACAAACTGCTGGGCACCAGTAATCCCATCGATCCAGGGATTTTGGAGTTCACCTTTGATAGAAACGCACAGACGTGTAAAATAACTTCACTCACAAGTGGCAACGTGATTCCCAGATATGGGAAACTTGTGGATGAGGAAAGCCTGGGAACATTGGTAGATTGTGATGAATTCATTAGGATGAACATCCGTTATCAGCATACTTTTGCCTCAAAGTCACCAAACAGGGATTATATTCCCATGCTTGTGGAATTATATGATAAAGAAGGCAATGTGCTGAAGCAGGAATTTTTCCAGATTTTGGTGAGAATAAAAGAGGGAGAGGACAACACGCCTCCTAAGCCCAGCTTTGTTGCCATGATGATGATGGAAGTGGACCAGTTTGTGATGACAGCAATAACCACTGACATGCTGGCTGCTGAGGATGTGGAGTCTAATCCTGATGAATTAATTTTCAACATCACTTCCTCTCTCTCCTTTGAGGAGGGCTACATAGTCAGCACGGATGACAGGAATTTACCAATAACCTCATTTTACCAGGGAGACCTCAAAGAATTAAAAATAGCTTATAAACCTCCTGCTGTGGATTCAGACACTGAGAGGATTTTCCAGATTGAGTTTGAAGTCGTGGACACCGAAGGGGCTGTTTCAGACACGTTTGCCTTCATGATCGTTGTCAAGCCGATGAACACGCTGGCCCCTGTGGTTACCAGGAACACCGGTCAGTTATTGTATGAAGGCCAATCCAGGCCGTTGTCTAGTTCACAGAATCTGGAAATCAGCGATGAGGATAATTTAGACAAAGTCAGAATTAGCGTCATTGATGGTTTGAGGCATGGAGAGTTGACTGTTGTGGGATCCAGGAGGAAATTCTTCACCCCAGCTGACCTTGATGCTGGAGCAGTCATTTATCAGCATGATGGTAGTGATACATATAGTGACAATATTATCTTCAGGATGACGGACGGCACAAATGAAGTCGAGTTTTTGTTTCCCATCACTGTTGTGCCCACAGACGACGAGGCACCTATTATCAATGCCAACACTGGTTTGATTTTGTTAAAAAATCAAGTCATTCAAATCTTCCCATCTACGCTTAGTGCTGCTGATATCGACTCTGAAGATTCTACAATAAAATTTGTGCTGGAGCCTCCCTATTCAACAGTGGGGCAGGTGTTGCTGCGTCAGTCTGAGGCACCAAAGGACCCATCTACTTGGAAGTTTAATACAGAGGATGAAATGTATGAGAAAGTAGTGACTGAGTGGCTGCAGCAGGATATTATCGATGGAAAATTGTTCTATAAGCACACAGGCCCCCACAGCACCAGCACAGTCATGGATCAGTTTGTTTTTACAGTGCAAGATGACAATGATCCCCCTAATCAGTCTGGCAGGAGCACATTTATAATCAAAATTATTCCTGTTGATGACCTCCCACCTGAACTTTACCCCAGCACTACCCTACAAATGACTGTACACGAGTATCAGCTCACGTACTTTCGGAAGAAATTCCTCCGTTACACGGACCTTGACTCAGAGGATCGGGATCTCAAATACACCATCATCCAACCGCCTACAGACACAGACGAGAACAGTCCTGTTGTACTGGGAGCCCTGGTATTGACTGAAAACCCAAACACTGAAGTCACAACTTTCACACAGGCACAGATTAACCATCACAAAATAGCTTATAAACCGCCCGATCTTGAACTTGGAATTACCACTCATGTTTTGCAGTTCAAATACACAGTGGAGGATGTCTCTAGAAATAGTGTCGAGGGAGTTTTTACAATATTCTTAAAACCTGTGGACAACAAACCACCTGAAATAACAAATTCTGGTTTTAGCGTACTGGAACGTGGCAGACATATCCTCACCAGAGGAGAGCTGGACACAACAGACACAGACACAGACAGCAGCAAAATAATCTTCACTATTGCACAGCCTCCTCTTCATGGCCAGGTGCAGTTTATATTCACTGAAATGACAATGGGAGATACATTCAACCTAGAGCATATCGAAAAAGGAATGATCTCTTATATTAATAATGGCGATGAATCAACTGTAGATTTTATAAAAATAGATGTCAGCGATGGGGTTCATACTGTTCCAATTACTATAAAGATTACAGTTAAGCCAATTGATGATGAAATTCCAACAATCAACCTACCAGCTGGGACAATAGGCTCCTATATAGATGTACTAGAAAACGAAGCTACAGAAATCACAAGTAATGTGATTCAGGGAAGAGATGAGGACACAGATGACCTTCGTTTGACCTTCATTGTTGAAGACAAGCCATCACTTGGTGAAATCCTGGTGAAAGGGGTTCCATCGAGCACTTTCACTCAAGCTGATATTATTAACGGCTTTGTGGTGTATGCTCATACGAGCGGAGAGATTGGCTTGAACACACGAGAGGACTTTTTTAACCTCACGCTTACCGACATGTCTGATGAGTGGACTATAGGAGGAAATAAAATTACTGGTGTCAGAGTTCATGTAACTATTCTTCCTGTGGACAGCCAGGCTCCAGAGGTCTTTGTAGGGCCACAGTTTACTGTTACTGAGGGCGAAAAAAATGTAATTCAGATTCTTCATATAAGCGCCGCTGATGATGACACCCCTAATGATGACCTCCTTTGTACAATTATTGTGCAGCCAACTTCAGGGTATGTGGAAAACATCTCTCCGGCCCCAGGCTCTGAGAAATCCAGGTCTGGGACAGCTATTAGCGCCTTCACCATTAAAGACATTAGACAGAATCACATTTACTATGTTCAAAGCATTCACAGAGGAGTCGAGCCAGTGGAGGACAGGTTTACCTTCAGATGCTCTGATGGCATCAATTTCTCTGAAAGGCACTTTTTTCCCATCTCCATAATCCCCTCTAATGATGAAAAGCCTGAGATTTACATGAGAGAGTTTGTGGTTATGGAGGGGATGAACATAGTTATTGACACTCCCATCCTGAACGGTGCTGATGCAGATATCCCAGCCGATCGGCTCACATTCTCTATCATCAAACCCCCCAGGCATGGTTTTATTCTCAATCAGCTCACAACCGGCACTCTCCCTGTGTCTAACTTTACCTTGGATCAGATCATTGATGGCTCTAGTATTGTCTATGAGCATGATGACTCAGAGACAACAGAGGACAGCTTTGAAATTTTCCTCACAGATGGAAAATTCAGTGTGGAGAAAACAGTAATTGTTATGGTGATCCCTGTGGATGATGAAACCCCTCGGATGGCTATCAATGACGGCCTAGAAATTGAGATTGGTGACATTAAAGTAATTAACAACAACATTTTAAAAGCTACTGATTTGGACTCCGAGGATAGTACACTGACTTATATCATCAAGTTTGGTCCTGGCCAGGGCTATTTGCAAAGAGCAATGCCATCTGGTGAATTGCAAAATATCTCAGTTGGGATGAATTTTACACAGCAAGAAGTAGATCAGGGATTGATTTTGTACATCCACAATGGGCAAGAGGGAATCCGTGACCTCATCAAATTCGATGTGACCGATGGAATAAACCCTTTGATTGACAGATATTTCTACGTCACGATTGGTGGCATTGACATAGTTTTCCCTGACGTGATTAGCAAAGGAGTATCCCTTAAAGAGGGAGGCCGAGTTACCTTGACAACTGACCTTCTCAGTACGAGTGACCTGAACAGTCCAGATGAGCATTTAATTTTTACAATCACCCGCGCTCCTGTTAGAGGACACCTGGAATGCACAGACACACCTGGGATGCCAATCTCGTCGTTTACACAGCTCCAGCTGGCCGGTAACAAAATCTATTATATTCACACCGCTGATGACGAGATGAAAATGGACAGCTTTGAATTCGAAGTGACCGATGGCTACAATCCCGTGTTCCGCACTTTTCGCATCTCCATCACAGACGTGGACAATAAGAAGCCCGTGGTTACGGTTCACGGCCTGGTGGTGACGGAGGGGGAGAATAAACTTATCACACCTTTTGAACTTACGGTTGAAGACAGAGACACTGTGGACCGCCTGTTGAAATTCACAGTAACTCAAATCCCAGTTCACGGTCGCCTGCTGTTTAACAACAGTCGGCCTGTCACTTCTTTCACAAAGCAAGACCTAAATGAGAACATGATCAGCTACCAGCATGATGGCACAGAGAGCACAGAGGACAGTTTCTCCTTCATTGTCACTGACGGCACCCACACAGACTTCTTTGTCTTCCCCGACACAGTATTTGAGACCCGAAAACCTCAAGTGATGAGGATTACTGTTCTTGCCGTGGATAATGGGGTGCCACACATTGTTGTTAACAAGGGTGCACAGACATTGCGGGTGATGGAGAGAAATCATTTGGGGTTTGTGATTACCAGTAAGTCCCTTAAGGCAGAGGACAGGGACAGCATTCAGGATTCTGTGACTTTTAGGATTACTGTGGCCCCAGAGCATGGTTACCTGATCAACCTTGGCAGAGGGAATGCAACCGTCACCACCTTTACACAAGGTAAGACACTTGTTGTTTTAGTCCTGCAACATATGTAATATTCTGCAGATTTCCTCTCTGAATCCCATTTTTATTCTCAAAGTTTTTTTATGCTAATCTCTGTATATTTACCTCCTTTGCCAAATGTGCTCCCCGTTTGACTCATAAAAGAAACTTTCCCAAACAATTTCTTTTATTAATGTTTCACCCATTTTCTCCAGCCCAAGGCTTACTAGATCTCTTGAGGAATGTATTTTTTTCAGACACTGCCTAGTGGGTTCACTTTTGGAAAGAGCTGGTGGAGATTTGTACTTTAGATGTGAATTACTTTCAAAGAAAAACCAAGGGAAATATAGACAAGGTGGTAAATAATATGAACTGCAGACATGTTGAAGAAAGACTGGCTCAAAGGAAATCACTGGTTTTGTAAAAAAAAAACTGAAGGTTTGCAGAAGTTATATTTCAAACAGGCAGGAGGGAATTCTTAGTTAATGGTGAATGTAGGTGTAGCCGCACATTTATTTTGTCAGTGTCTGTTTTTTCTGCTTCAATTTACCGAGCTACTGTGCTAAGTATGTCCCCAGGTAATTGATATTTTAGCAGATTTAATACGTGTAAATTGTTTGTTTATACAAACTGCCCACCACTAATAACAATTCTGTAAATCAGTCATGTAAAATTTAACTGAAAGCTAGAGTATGTTGACTTTAACAACTCTAGACATTAAAAGTAAAGCTTTAACAAACTGCCAAATCAATGATTATGAATGAATTAACATGTAATCACAACACAAATCAGAGTAACGGCAAATTATTAAATGCCATTTTGGATTTTTATGTAAAATATACAGTAATTATTTATCAGGCTGGTTTGAGCAAAGTCAAAATATTCCCACACTCCAAACATGCATATTTTATCACATCATGAAGAAATGTTTAAATATTTCTGTTTTTTAAGAAGCACTTTGGTGTAAAGAAAAAGAAAGTTCTTAGCCTTTTTTTTCCCTTGTGATCAATAAACCCAACTAGCAGATTCCTGTTGGTGTGATTCAGCCTCTGCTGAAATAAATGCTCTCTTTTTCAGCGGAAATCGATGATATGAACATATGCTACATTCTAAAGGATGGGGACAACGCAACAAGTGACATTTTCCTTTTCTCCATCGAAGACAAAGGTAAAACTGCTTTAATCCAAACATCATCTCTGTTTGTAAAGCTTGACACATTATGGAGAATTTAAAGCATTTTTTGTTTCACTTATTTAAGCTGAACCATTATAGGCTTTTCCACATAAAGGAAAGCCTAGGATTCATATCAAAATGTGTCTAAGCCAGAGTTTAGGAAAAGACAGCAAGGAGTTCCAGAGCTTTATTTTGACACAAATAATGTAGAGGGAATTGTAAACTATTTATGTTGTGATATGTGCTTTAACACTGTCATGATTTGTCGCTGCCTTGCATTTAATTGTTTTATTTAAGCATCTTTGTTAGCTTGTCTACAAATTACTCCATAAGTAGTAATGCCTTGTGGCTTCAACCCATAATTACTGGTTATTTTTCAACCAGTAATTATTCATTTAGCAAATGACTAATTAGCAAAGCAATTAGCAAAGGCCTTCCCTGTAACGAAGATTCGTAATCAGGCACAGTCTCAGTGAAAGGTTTGGGGCAGTGATGTCGGTGTTGCCGATCAGCAGACGCAGCGTGCCTTACAGTGTGTCCTTTTCACTACCCTTCAGCTGTGATGAGTGAGCACAAAGAGCCGCTCTAATGGGGGCCCTCTTTTCCCACAAGTACCTCTCTGGCCTCCGTACTCATACCCTCGTTTTGCATTTTTTCGAGGATAAATCTGTTGCTTCAGTTTATTAAGTCAGTGGCAACAGGTGGATACGGCGCTGCTGAGGGATGACTGAAAAGCAAAAGCTGGCTGTAAATTACAGCTCTTTACCTGAGCGGCTTTGTTTTCAGTTAAGGAGAAACTTCTTTGTTGGTGGGGCTCCATCTGTCCGACGCGTTATTACCACACCTGTGTTATTTGTCAGGGATCTCTGCTGGTTGTCTCTCTCTTTGTCACTCTCTTAATGACATACCCACTAGTCCCATGATACCCATGAGTCCCACACCAGTATTTTGTTTCCTAGAGCTGATGATTAGGTTCACTTTCTCAGTTCTGAATGATCTTTACATAGAATTTACACTGCATTTTCATTACAGCTATATAAACACTGTCAGATGCTTCAGAATGCATTGTACTAAAAAACAATAAGAACTGAACAATTGGAATTGTTGTTTAGCTTTTTATTGCCTTTTGAAAATTTCTAAATAGTCGGCCTGCCCATCCTCCAGGACTTGTTATGTACTGCGGTGCAGCTGGTGAGGCAGTCAGTGAACATTTTTCCAATGAGATTCGAGTTCCGCTGGTGGCAGCCCTGATTCCCCAGACAGAGTTTGCAGCTCTTTGAACAGCCGTGTTGGGGAGAAGCTGAATGGCGTACACTAGCTCACAGCTGTGCCATGTCATGTTAAACAACCAGAGACATCCTTCTCCTAAATGCAACCTGATTTAGGCAAAGCAACTTTGCAAAATTTTATTTTAGTAAATATTCACTTTTCATGATGCAGCTGCTTTTCATAAATCCAAGGCAGATATAAACTTCATATGCTTACTGTATGAAGGGCATATTGAGTAAATGTTTCTTTCTGATTGCCAGTGTCTATAAAATCAGTGTTACCTTTTTGGCACATGTCACACCATCACTGACAACTGGTCTTTTATGTATCACCAGATTAAAAATTGTCTAGTATACTAGCTACTAAAATGATTTAGCCCTAAACTCAGGAGGAAAACAACCTATAGGTTCATACTGTTAGGATTAAATACACAACAACAAATAGTAGAAGTAATAAAAAATAAAAAAAACCTGTAGAGATGCCTTTATGTAATGAGGTTGGTGTTTTTAAAATGTTTTTAGCAGTCATTAAGATTTAGATCTCAGCTTTGGTGGTTGCTGTTAATTTAACCACTTCTTTCTATCTATTTTAATTTCAAAGTTGTAGCTTTTTTGATAAAATGCTGCTGTTTGCAACATGAGGTTTTACAAATTATGCATTGTACCCATGAAAACTAATGTGATTTATAAACCTCACTTAGCGTTTAATCAAAGCAAAACTGGTTACAAAGCACAAAAAAATCTCAGCAGTTATTCAGGAGATTATCAGCTTTTTTGTTTTAGTTTGATCAGAGGTGATAACCTATTTTCTGAGAATGAACCAGTCTGAATGGGATCCAGAACCAAAAGAATTACAAAAAATGGAATTTAAAGTTCTAATCTTTGTTCCATATTATTAAAACACACATCAGTGTTAAATACAGCTACGAATCCGGCAATTAAATATTTTTATTGCTCTGAAACCTGGAGTATATAGGTTTTGAGTACACAATAATATAACTATATATAGCATTTATCTACATGCTGGTGAAGATTCTCAGTCATCCAGTTCATAGTCATTCCAAAAAAGTAAAAAAAAAAAACAATCCACTGGACTTTGTTTTAAAACTTGGAAACAAATTATTTTCTTACCTATTTTGAATCATTCTACATTTTTTACTAGATGTTTTTCTGAGAGCATGAAGGGATTAGGTTCATTTTCTGAAAGTATTTTTTTCTAAATATTCTTATATGGGGAAATCTTGCATTTATTTGTCAAGACTCCTCGGTGCAAAAGGCCAATGATGCGGCCTTAAATTTGGAAAATGTAAGCCACCATGTGGTATTTTAGTTAGTGATGTTATTTGGGCCGGTCTGTCATTCTAAATATGGATTTTCAACTAAGTATTTCTCTTTAGTATCCTGCTTGAGGTTCTAGGTTCAGTGAAAGGTCGATTTGATGTAGGAGTCCTCAAATGCATCTAGACTGCAGTTTGGTTAATCAGTGTATCTTCAACATAGAGTACATCCACATTAAGTCTGAGGAGGGACTCACTGCGATAAGCAAGATTTAGGGCTGAGCAGACAGCTTAATTGATATGCCAGTAGTGAGCTGATATATTATAAAAACGGTGAACACTATGGATCCTGCTGCAATCAACCTTTCTGTATAAAATATCATTAATAACCTTCCTCCCAAAACACATGCAGGCTAAAGGGTTGGGGTATAATGTTTATGATCTCTGTGAAAAAAAAATGAACTTGAATATTTGTTCAGATACATTACGCTCTAGAAATGAAAGATTGTATAGTTCTATGCAAATAATTACAGCAGAATGCATATCTGTTCTCTATTTTTGCTTGTCTGCAACATTAGGATAAAAACAAAACAAATAGTTAGAAATAAAGCAGTGACTAAATAGATAATGACAGGCCATTTGTTCTACTCTTTGATATCTAGATTCATTGGACTGAAGCCTGCAATGTCACTTCACTTTACGAAGGTGATATTAAAATATCTCTTGACGCTGACTTGCCTTTAACTTCTGACTTTTCTCTTGTAATTGAACTGCCAGAAGCTGGTCTTCATCTCTTCAGCAGTTAACCTCTGACTTTCCAAACTTTTTAAAACTTATATGTTGTGTTCAGAGACCAACTTAAAACATTACATGATTGTTTTTTAATTGGCCACATAAAACAAAAGCTGATTTTGTTCACTCCATTAAGTTACAAAGTGTGATTAAACCTCTTTCTTTACAGGGAGTTAAATCAGAATCTTTTGTTAGAGTCCTGAAGCTCAAGATAAATACTATTTCATATAGATATAGTATCCACCACTCTTTTTTCAAAGTTAAAATCATGTCTTTTAGCTGTATTATATTTATTTATTTGTCTCAAAGAAAGGATAAAGCAAATAAATGACCAAATTTCTGTTTACTATTTTGGAGAAACATAACACCTGTAAGGCAAAGGTGCAAACAAAGGCTTGGGGTAAAAATCTCCATAATTACTTGAAAAGTGTGTGGGACCAAAATGGTATCTGGATGTTTGTGTTTATGTGTCTTTGGAAGGAATGGGCCTGCTCTCGGCATCCTAAATCAGTTAATTGCTGTGTTTTGGTGGACTCCAGCACTCCCCTTGTCTCCTGGGGATTCAGGTGCATTCAGGTGAGCTTACCTGAGCATACACAAGCCCTGGCATTCCCAGGTAGCTGTTTATTGAGCGGAATCCCTGTCTGCTTCCAGCCAGTCACTCAGCATTACAGATGTTCCTAATGACAGACACAACTGCTGTGGTCTTTGTTTTTCATTCCAGGCTTTTTTTTTCTTCTTCTTTCCTTTCCTGGGGTACCTGGTGATTGAAATAGATCATTAAGAGCTCACTTCATAGAAAAAATGTCTGAAGGGCAGAGAAAGCTTTTCTTTTTTAAGTCACTTTGACTTAAAACATCCAGTGTAGCAGTGTGCAAAAGTCAATCATTTTGATTGGTTGTTTGTTGTGAAATTATTGAGAATATGATTGAAAATAGAAACATTACTTTCATAGAAATCCTTTAACAATGAGGATTTTTTTCCTTTCTTTGATGCGTTCTGTAAAGTAAAAGTAACTGTGAGGGCTTTTAGTTAATAAACCCTCTGCACCATCTCCTACCTCCAGGAATATCTCATGTGTCGGTTGTCACCGTCTTCCATGTTATCAGCGTGTAATCGCCTGTGACACCGAGCACATACTCCATCTCTCTTGTCTCTCATCCTGTTTACCTCCAGTTTTGGAGGGATTATCTTACTCCCCATAGCGTGCTACAAAGTAAGACATGCACATGCAATTGCGAGGTTACTATACTATATTATTCCCATCACAGCTTAGGTGATGACTCTGCAGGTTTTTTTGTTTTTTTTCCTGTGTGCTTCTGTCCTGTTATTAATGAAACTCTCTGCCCTATACTTTTCTTGGGGGGTATAACATTCCTCTGTCCTTGGGACCTGCATGGTATGAATCATATACATAACGCTTGCTATAAAAATCTGGAAATTATGTAGCTGGCAATGTTGTTGTCTTTTAAGGAGATTTGAGGGTATAAAATGATGTTTGGTTTTTCCCACATTTGCTTGTTTTTTTTGTTCATTTCTGAGAATTTATGATTAGAAACATGACATGTGATTGCCAAAGTTTTGATGGGAAATGGCTGCTTGATGTTGGGGATGAAATGAACCAATTAGATCAAGGATTTAGGCTAATCTTTTTAAT